TGGGATGGGGAGAACTGGCCACCAGAAGCAGGGCTGGACAGGGGCAGTGGGGCTGGCCAGATGAGATCGGGAGGAGAAGTGGGGGAAAATGACCAGCCAGGAGGGGGTTGGGAGAAATGGGGCTGGCTGAAGGGGAGAGAAGCAAAATCCGGCCCCAGGGATTCCATTTTGCCCCCCCTTCCCCTCGAGTAGTTGCGAACTGTCTGGCTGGTAGACACACTGACCAGCCTGAGCACATCTGCCAGCCAGGCAGTTCGCAACTACAAACTGATACATCTAATAATAATAAAACTTACCTAATGAGAAAATACCAGACATTTTATATGTCCGGTATTTTCTCAATTTGTTTCCCGGACAGAAACCTCAAATACCAGACTGTCCGGTACAAAACCGGACACCTGGCAATCCTACCCCTCCATGCACCGTCCCTCCTAGCCAGATACCCTAACCCCTGTCTGCTCCTGCTCCTGCCTCCCCGAGTGCCTGTGCGGCGCCAGGTCCCCCAAGCCCTGGCCCAGGCTGGGTGGAGGATGCAGCCGGGTGAAACAGTGAAAATTTAATTCATTTTTCATTCTTTTTTTTTTTATATGCGTTTATATTTTTGGGCTGCAAAAAACAGTACTGAAAAAAAATGGGTTCCAACTAAAGTAAAAAGTTTGGGAAACCCTGGTCTAGCCAGTTTTCTGTCCGTCTTACCGTCCATTTATCCAAACCATACTCCCTTAACTTGCTAGCAAGAATATTGTGGGTGACCGTATCAAAAGCTTTGCTAAAGCTGGCACTGGGGGCTTTGGGAGGACCAGAAACAACTTATTTGAATATTCATCATTTGTTTAATGAATATGCAAATATGCAGATGACTATTACCAGTCCTCCAAAAATCTCGTGAATGGATTTACTGTTCTCCATGTCAAAAAGTTTGGGAACCCCCTGATATAAGGCATATGTAGTTCATGTGTAAAATTATACATAAACTTTTAAAATTATTAAGTTATAAGGTCACTCAGCTTTAAACAAATCAATGGTCTTCATTTTTATGTATGTGCCATAAAATTACACAGACCACCAGGCAATTGCTGTAGCACCTGACAAAAAGTGTTTGCAGTTATAATTAAGGCACATATTAAGATTACTTTGGCATCATTAACTTAACACACCCATTTGGTGATTTATGTCACTTTTCTTGCCCTAGCTAGTAGTTGGGCTCCATATCTTTATTTAGGTTTTTTTAAGTCTTTATAGTTATCAAAAAGTCCAAATAGAAAGGAAAGATGTGAAGAACTTACCGAAGCTCAGGAAAGAGTTGGAGGAGTTTGACTGGACAGATTCTGGTGGTTTTGCCAGTGAAGATGGGCTACAGATACCTAGAAAAACACAAGAAAGCTTTAGTGACAAATAAACACCTCCTCATGTCCTGGGAGGAGAGGCTATGAGCAAATTTTTACTTCAATATGAGAGGTAATCTCTCTTAACATACAAGCTCTATAGACATTAATAATGTTCTATATGCATTCATAATGAAGATGTCATCATAAGATGCACTGGGCATCTTGTGTGCTCAGAGTTTGGAATTCTCAGCAATCCAAGTTTTAAAACAAGTCATTTTAGTTTCAGACACTCACCACGAAGTTAAAGTGACCATACAGTCTTAGTGAAAAATTTATTATTAATGCAAGAAACACAGGAGGAAGTTGCATTCCATGCAAGAGCCAAGACAGAGGCAAGGCAAATGGAACTGTATGCCATTTTTGCTTTTCCTTATTGCCACCCAATCATGGGGCCAGATTAGCTTGTGATACAAGCTACAACAGACTTGAGTTTGCACTAACTTGCATCCACTGGAATAGCCTTCCAGGCTGGTATGCCATCTCATAATTGCCAGATTACCTCAGCATTCAGACCACCACCCCAATATACCTCCTGCATGGAGGTTAGGTCCATAAAAGGCTATTAGCCAGGGGATAAAATGGTGTCGTTGGCCTCTGTTTGTCAGAGGCTGGAGAGGGATGGAAGGAGACAAATCGCTAGATCATTGTCTTCGGTCCACCATCTCTGGGGCACCTGGTGCTGGCCACTGTCGGCAGACAGGATACTGGGCTAGATGGACCTTTGGTCTGACCCAGTACGGCCGTTCTTATGTTCTTATGTTATGTTCTTAGTCTGGAGCTAGAAAGGGGGGATGGCATATAACCCTGGATAGTCTGGTTGTATGCCACTTGGGAATATCCCTGTGCTGGGGAAATGCACAACCAGTTTGTAAAGGCAGTTTTCCACCTCCTTTGAGCTACGAGAGCGGTAGAAAACAAATGGAACATGGACCAGGATCTGGCCTAGGAGTGTCCATCACAGATTGTGAATGACAGACAGTCTTGGCAGCTGCTGTTTCAGAGCTGTCCATCATAACCGGTGCCAAATAAGATAATGTCCTTGTGGATATGGAACCTGATCTCACAGATCCTTACCATACCAGTTTTGATAGGATTACTTTTTGAGTTCTAGTGTAGGATCAGACCCCAAGCTTTTAATAAATAAAGCTGGTGACAATATAAATATTAATAATACTCTTAATTCTGCTACAAATAAATGTTTTGCTAATGCACCAAATCAACATATATGTTTCACAGTGTTTTTGACTGTGACTAATTTAAAAATAGATCAGATGTTAGGATACCTGCAGTTTTAGGTAACACTTTTTATATTACAGCACCTCAGAATGTATGGGAAAGGCTGGACAAAACAAGCTGAAAGATTGATTAGTTTGATTAGAACTGGGATGAAAGGCCAAGGCGGATTCCATATACACTAGCAACCTTGAGTGAACCCATTAGCAATAATAGCGACACTGAGACATATAGGTCTTTAATGAATTCTGTCTGCAATGCTAAGTGCTTTGAGATGTCTAAAAGAAAGATATTAGAGAAGAGCAACAGATTATTCATCCAATCAGGTGGTGAGTACCCTGGGCTCCAAACAGGAGTGGTAGAAATGAAGGACTCTTAGCATCTTGCTGGTTCAGATCCTAAAAGAAAAACAGATGCTACATACATATATCCCACCAGACAGAGAGAGACTTGTTAATGATCAAAAGACTTACTTTTTTTCACGTTTCGTAAAATTTTCAAGCTCTGTAAAAAAAAGTTTTTAAATTAAAGATTTTGCTGTTGAGGCAACTATTTGCATCAAGCTGGAGATCAGTGCCTACAGGCAAAAAAAAAAAAAAATTCACTGCTGCACAACCATGCAAAACAGCATGCATTTATCACGTCACATGTGCAGAGTCCTATAGTTTCCTTGGTCACTGGCTTTTTTCAGCCAAAATGAAAACTTCCCAGAGTGTACACAGCAGGGTACCACAGGTATCCTGAAATAGTTACCCCGTGTCTTTTAAAAGCACCCTTCATTTCAAAATATTTTCCAAAATAGCAGGCACGCTATTCTGGAATCCCTGTAACCCTCATTCCATGACGGTTCATAGATGTCTCAAAATAGCATGTTAGTTTGAAATTTGGCACTGTGTAGACTTGCCAAATTTCAAAATAAGCTATTTTGAAATACAATTGAAATAAGATATGCAATTTGTGTAGCACAAATTGCGTATCTTATTTCGAATGTAGGGTGCTGTGTAGAAGTCCCCTTATATTGTTCAAATTATATTTTTCTCAATAACTCTTTCCTTTAGCAGACACATTCACAAACTAAATGAGGACATTCCCTAGACTAGCACCTGAGCTCAGGATTGTGGAATAGTGAAGTCTGCCCCTCAGTTGGAATTTGAGGCCCCTATATATGACCAGCTTTTCTGAGAAGAGTTGGCACAATTCATGGAAAACTGATGATAGTTAGGCAGCCAGTCACATAATTTGACAGAGATTACTTTTGTCCCTGTTGTGCAACTGTGAATCTTTTCTTCTTTCCTGCAGCTCCGTTTGCAGTGTCACCACAAATCACGCTGCCTAAATGTGTACTCTTGCCATCAATACAAGAAGTCCTAAACGCATGCCTTTGTTCTCTTAGCATCTATATGAGGTAAGTAATAAGAAAATAAAAGCTGCTGCAGTTAGAAAAGCTGGAGCTCTCTTTCCTCCCTTTTCCCTCTGATATTTTACTTTACTCCTCCTGAAGCATTTCACAGGCTCTTTTGATGACTCTTCAGAAGCTTTATTTCCTGAGTTCCCAGAGTTCCTAGGGGAATTCCTCTCAATAGGCTGCAGACCTAGGAAAACAACATACAGCAAAATATTTCCAGAGGATTACATGCACATCCTCATGCTTCATTTCTAAACATTGTGTGTGTTGTCTTTGTACTTTCTTTATAAAGTAATTTTTGAAATTGGTGTAGGTATTTATATTTGCCGTTTTGTTGCTAATCTGCCCAGCAAATTTCCCAGTTGCAATTTTGGTTTTTTACATACATATTATCCTAAGGGAAATAGTGAAAGAACCATCACTTGGGACATTTAAAGGTACTACTCTGCCCTGATTAGGCCTCAGCTGGAGTACTGTGTCCAATTCTGGGCACCACATTTCAGGGAAGATGTGGACAAATTGGAGAAGGTCCAGAGAAGAGCAACAAGAATGATTAAAAGTCTAGAAAATATGACCTATGAGGGAAGATTGAAAGAATTGGGTTTGTTTAGTCTGTAAAAAAGAAGACTGAGGGAACATGATAACAGCTTTCAAGTACCTACAGGGTTGTTACAAGGAGGAGGGAGAAAAATTATTCTCCTTAACTTCTAATGATAGAACAAGAAGCACTGGGCTCAAACTTCAGCAAGGGAGGTTTAGGTTGAACATTAGGAAAGATTGTCAGGGTATTTGAGAACTGGTATAAATTGCCTAAGGAATATTGGTTGTTGGAATATTGGTTGTTGGAGATTTTTAAGAGCAGATTAGACAGACACCTGTCAGGAATGGTTCTGAGGGTGCTTGGTCCTGCCGTGGATGCAGGGGACTGGATTTGATGACCTCTCATGGTTCTTTCCATTTCTGTGATTCTATAAGAATACACTGTGAAGTACACTTAGCAAGGAGCAGGGGACAGAGTATGATTAGAGAGGAACTCAACGTCTCTACCATCTCTGCTTTCTGGAATTTGCTTTATTCAGTGAGCTACAGGTTTTTCAGATAGGATATTTCATTTGTTTGGATACCTGATCTTGTTTCCTTTTAATTGTGCTAAATTTTTATTGTGCTAAATCTCTATTACAGGTGAAGAAAACATTTACCACTTACTTTCCTCATCAGCAAGAAAGAATGACTCAGGGGTTCTTTCAGGAAGTGGAGGAGGGGTTGAAGAGCGATCCCGGTGTTTCTCTAAGATAGCAAGAGTGACACAAGTAAGGAAAACAAAACAATATTTTTAATTAGCTTTTTAAAGTCCTTTGTGATACTGACAGTTACATCAACTTGGGTGTGACCCATTAGGGATGTTAGCTGTCGGGTAATAGAATAGTAAAGTAACTGCATGATTTCTTAGTGGTTAGTCGACTATTCTATAGTCCCCAGGGTAGGGCCAGCAGCCAGTGCAATCCAACCCCACTCCTGGTGATCCCACGCAGGGTGCCAGGCAGAAGCCAGCTCTCCTTACAGACTGCCTTCCTGCCTGCCGATACAGAAGCAGAAGTGCTGGGTGGCAGCAGCCCCTGTCCACAGGAGGGTCCGAGCTCCCCATGGACAGAAGCTGCTGTGGAGGCAGGGAGTGATGGAGGCTGCCAAGAAGTAGCCTCTGTCTGCAGCGGGCCCAGGCTCACCGCAGACAGAGGCTGCTCTGGCAGCAGCTCCTGTCCGCAAGTGGGGAAGAGGGGTCTGAGACTGCTCCAGCTTCTGTCTGTGGATAGGTTGGACAACCACAGACAGGGGCTGTTACTGAGGACCAGCCTCTGGCTACAGTGGGCCCTGGCTTTTTGTGAATAGAGGCTGCTCCAGCAGCAGCCCCTGTCTTCAGGGAGCTCGGATCCCTCCATGGACAGTGGCTAAAGCGCGACGAACATCTTCTCGCCAACCCA